TTCTCCTTGATAAATTTCATTTGATAATAAATATTCACAAATAGACCAAAAGAATGCAAGTGCAAATGATTCTTGAACTAATAAGAAAAAGATAGGAACAATCATTGTTCCAGAAATATAATAAATAGCAATACTAATTGAACATGTTGCTTGTAATACAAATCCTATTCTACAAATAGTATCAGGACATAAGTATTCTTTACTTGCTACAAACCCAATTAATGGTGATAATAATCCTGTAATACCAAATGTAATTGCATCAGCTAGTCCAATATCAAATGGTGTTGCTCCATTTTCTTTCATTAATAATGGAATAATTAACCAACAAAAATAAGTTGACATATTGATTGTAAATCCTCCTACATAATAATTAAATAAATTAAAGAATTGAATCTTTTTAGTAACTTTCTTCCATGACTCTGAGAATGGCATTAATGGAATGATTTATTTTTTGTTTTAGGTTAAAGTTCCAATTATTCAGAAAATAAGAAGCCACAAAGAAACTGAAAGAAATACATTTTACATTCGAAAGCTTTCGACTTCATTCCATTATTTTTTTGTTAGTCTTTTTTCATTAATCCCATTTTTTTTTTCTTTCTTTTTTTTTTTATGTTCTATATAACAATATATTATTATAGAAAATTTTTATGTTTTTATAAAAATGAAAAATAGAAAAGAAAAATAAGAGAGATTAAGTGGAGTGTTCATGTTGGATTTACCACGAATATCTAATTTAAATCTTCCATCAAAAACTCAATTATCATTTAATCATCTTCAAAATTTAATTAATGCTGAAAAAAGTTCTTATCAAGTTGATGAAGATAGACTTGAAGACCTTAGAAAACAACGAGATAAAATTGCAAAACAACATGTTATTAATATGATCAATTCAAACATTTCAAGGTTTGTTTTTTTTTCTTTTTGTTTTTTTTTGAATGTAATAAAAAATAATTTAATAGAAATGCTGGTCAATTTGATGCAATTCGACAAAGAAGTCGTGGTGTATTTGAACAATATTATGGATTTGAAATTAAAACATTAAATTCACCTATTCCAAATGAAAAAAATATTGATGGTGATTATCAATTTTTTATTCAAGAAGGAAATATATATGCATTACAACTTTCAAGAAATTCAACAATATGTTTAACTGAAGGAATATTTTCATTTATCAAAAAATTATTTGTAAAGAGAACATATAATAAAATTTATGTTGATAAAATTCGACATATTTTATATGGATTATCTGATATTGATATTACTATTTATTCAACAATTACTTTAGAATATTTTGATACAATTACATCAAT